CTCTTCAGGTCTAAGAAGATTGAACAGGGGCAACTGTTGTACCCCAAAATTTTCCCTCCCATTTTCTCACCACAAGACCCTTGGAGCTCAAGATCCAGTTAGGTTTCATCTGCTCAAGACTTCTCCTTGCATTGGTGACCCAAATTAGGGTTTGTGTTTGCACAAAGATGTTTTGACCTAAAATGCCTAATGTGACTTTCATGTTTCATGTTGGACTCACAAGTCTATCCATACCAAGTTTCAAGTCTTGATTCCAAACTTTGCCCAGTCAATTGGACAGTTGACCTAGAAATCAACTGTATTGGGGAAAAAGTCAACTGTGGCCAATTGACAGTCAAACCTCATGAAATTTTACCCACATCAACATTATGAACTCATATGAACCATTTGGTCAAATTTGGATCACAATTCCACAAGAAATTTGATCAGATCACCAAAAGGGCAAAATGGTCATTTTTAGGGTTTTGACTGCACAAAGGCAATTTTTGACTGTTTGACCTAGCCAATGGCAAACCAAGCTCATATATGGACTCAAGGACCCCATGGAATTGTCTTGACATGTTCAACAAGTTCAAAAGATCCCAAATGCACAAGATTGACAGATGAATTTTCCAGTCAATTGATCAATTTTTGACTGTATACTGAAAAGTCAAACTTTGACTTTTTGGTCAAAATCAAGTGTCAAGATTCATTTCTCATCAAAACATGCTAAATTATGAAACTTGTTCATCAAGAAATCAAAAATCACAAATTAGGGTTTGAAATGAAGAATTTTCATAACTTAGAATTTTTCTAAGTTATGAAAATCCCTAATTTTTTCCTAACTTTGTCCCATTTTTCCATCAAGATGCATTTGGATTCAAACAAAAGTCAAAACATGAAAGTTATAGTTCATTGCAAAATCTACAACTTTGATTCACAAAGTTTCCTCAAAAGAAGCTTGTATCCCAAGTTATGATTTTTGGAACAAGGGTGCAAAACATTCTTAACTTAGAAAAATTTTGACCTATTCTAGGCAGGATTTTTGCCTAACTTCATGGCCACTTTTCACATGCTTCCACTTTGAATTTCAATTTGCATTACAAATATGGATTGTAGTACACATTCCAAGCTTTCCAAAATGTCCAAGAACTCATCAAACAACCTTGTGGTTAAGGAGAATCGAATTTGGCAATATGAGTAAAACTCACTTTGTTCATGGCCAATTTACATGTTCATAACTTTGGATTTTTGAACTCAGCATTCTCTAAGGTAGATTACAGGCCTTTTATCTCATCCACACTCAATAATTTAATGCAAACCCCTTGTGTTCAAGCCTTATCTTATGTGTTTAAACATTGCATACAAGATTGAGCCATAATTAGAAAAAGCAATATATCCATTTTTGAAAAGTTGAACTTTATGTCAAATTTGCAAATCAAGAAGTACAAGGAAAATCTCTTTGGCACAAGTTCAGAAGCATATCACACTGATCAAGAGGGATGGTTGCAGCACATTTGAGGGGCCTGCAAAAGTCTAGAAACCAAGTTGACATTTTGTTGCTTAAGTTGGAAGAAACTTGGCATATTGAAGGACATCTCACATTTTCTGCCAAGGGAAGCTTAAGCAAACTTGTTGTACACCTTCCAAACATCAAACCTAAGATAAGGCACGAGCAAAACACCTTCCAAACCTCGTCAAACCTCAAAACACCATCCTACTGCAGAAAATAGAGTCACCTCTGCAGTTGGACTTCCATAACTCAATCCACTCGTGCATTCTTGCTAAAACCAGTTCATACACACTCCATACAACATATACAAGCTACCCCAAGCAATAGACACGACCTGTAACACCTCTAACCAACTTCACCATTTTCACTTTTTCTGTTTTGCAGGTTGATGGCCATAGCTTGATTCACTTGGTTTCAAAGCAAGTTAAAGGTTGGAATAGCATCCCTGGACTTCAAGCAAGCTGTACCAATCCTCACTTTGCCTTGAAAGTGCCTCCATTGCCAGACACGATCCAAGCTGAACAGATAAGTTCATGGACTCCTATCTTTTAATCTAGGAAGAGTTAGCTTTAAGTTTATGAATGAAAAATGTTCTACTCATGCCCCTGAAGCTACACATATCTTCACTTTCCATTTATATTGCATGTGCTGAGAGAATTTAAGACCTGAACATTGACAAAAACTTAGGTTAAGAATTAGGGATGGAGAAATTCTCTCTCATTTCTGAGAGTTAAGTTAAGTTTTTTATATGTATAGAATCGTGGCTTGATGCTTGACATCTTTCATGTTATAAGTTTGTGCTAAAAGTCCAGAAATCAGGAGTTGTGTTTGAAGCAAGAAAGGCGCGCGTTTTTCAAACGTTTGTCTGAAGGTTGAAGACAACCTTTCTTGGGTTGGGCCTGAGATTGCTTTTCCTTTTCACACCACTGCATTTCACATGCACCCCCCTGGCCCATTTTGAGTTTTATTTATCATTTTTAATTTTTTTCCTTTTGATTTTGGTCCTATATTTTTATTTTAGCATGAAAAAATATTAAAATTATTTTTCTCACATTTTTTGCATTTTATTTGATATTTATTTGGTTTCATTTAGTTTTTGTACATAAATAAACATAAAAATACTTTTATTTAAAAAACTAAAAAATAATACAAACACATTTTATTTCTGATTTTTATTTTATGTTATCTCTTGAAAACATTTTATAAAAAATATACTTTTTTTTAATAATATTAAATATTTTATTTTTGTACATATAATATATATTTAATAAATAATGTAAATACTTATATATTTATTAGTATATTTAGGGGAAACATAAAAAATAATACTTTTTATTTTTATTAATATTTTGACCTCAAAAATAATTTTTTTACAATATACCTTCTTTTATTTATTTTTTGTACATAATTGATAAATATTGCATATATTATATAATAAATACATTTATTTAGCAAAATTAGGGTTTTGCCCTAAATACATGAAAAAATACCAAAAAATTAATTCATTTTATTTTTATTAAATACTTGAAAAATCTTTTTTTACATACATATGAAAATCATTTTTGCATCTTGCATATTTATTTTATTTTATTTTATTATTGTGCAATTAATTGATTTGTATAATTCAATCTGGATGTAATAGTTTAGGTTTTAATTTCTTGCTAAAATATCCCCATTTGAACATTTGTACCCCCATCCCATATATTGTGTTGTAATAACTTAGGACCTTTTATTTTCCGCATTTTAAAGCTTTCTAAATATGCCATGTTAGAATTAGGGTTTGTATGCAAAAATTAACCAAAAATAGTTTGACCTAAATTCAAGATAAACAAGCATGAAAATGGACAACACTAATCACACTTGCACCCCTAGGGTATTCCACTTGTTGCCTTCAATAATGAGTCATATTGCATGTTAGGTGTCTTTGGCAAAAACAAAACAATCAAATGATCATAGTCCCTCGATGACGCTTTCAAAAGTTGCCTAAAAATGATCAAGTCCCTTAAAGGAAAAATTTCCCAAAGATACTTGGCACCATTGCAATCATGGTCTAAACGATGACCCGCGCCCGTCCCGTTAACATCCTAAGACAAGATTGTCCACCAAATACAATGGTGAAACAAAATTGTTAAAAGGGTTAAAACATAGCAATGATCTTTGAGAAATTTAGGGTAGACAACTCTTAGTTACTTGCCAATTTACAAAACAAAAACACTTGCCTATGTTTTCAAACCACACATCATAACACTTTCAAAACAACTTTCAAAAACATTGAAAACCTTTTCAAAAGACATACACCTTTGTATACATCCCAACATGGATCATTACAAAGGTTGCCACCACATTGGTCTCTTTTCAAAACATTTTCAAAACCCACACACAAAGCACCATTTCAAACAATTGAAAATCAAGGCAAGTTGATCTAAGCAAGTAACTAAGAACCCATGGATAACCATGGATAGAAAGGGTGCTAATACCTCCCCTTTCTATAATCTACTCCCCGAACCCAAGAAAACATCTCAAAGGTTTTTGCTGTGCTTTTTAACCTTTCCTTAGGATAAAATAAAAAGTCGGTGGCGACTCTTGCTCAACCGAAACATTTGCGAATACAAACGCAAAACTCAAGTCAGTTCTCCCACCGTATCACAAAGGAAAACGTGAACATCGAGAAAACCTGAGAAGGAAGAAGTCACGGTCTTGTGACCAAGAGATTGGATAAGGGAGTCTATTACGCAATAGGAAGGTATTAGCACCCCACACACCTGTAGTACTCTAACGGTATCCACTCTTGTTATTTATCTTATGGGTGTGTCTAATCTATGTCTACTGCTTACTATTAAGGAAGAATGCATGTAAAAGAAATGCGGGGAAAAGAAGGAAGTATTTACGAATTTTACTAGGTTAGGCCCCGCGACTTGTTGCCTACGTATCCCTTTTGAGAAATCAGAGCGTCATAGTTCGGCTTACGTGTTTTGTTTGTTTTGTGTTTTTAATGGAACAATGCTAAGCTTTACATTCTACCGCTGCTCGACCCTGGGAGACTCACGCGTATGTAGTATAAAGGAAATAACATGCTCATACCTGACGAGGTATCTTCAAAAGAAAAATTCCCGAAGGTGGATAATGTTTCATACATAACTTTTTGGCAAGTAGACATGGGTGCAACCCGGCCTTTGGGGATTTACGTGTCGTACCTTTAAAGTAGAACTAACACATCCTTTAGAGAGTTTCGATAAAAGGCCCAAAGGCGAAAAGAGTTTGGATTTGTTGATGTTTTTTACCTTGAAAAAGGGTTTAAGTATGATTAGAGTGTTTTTGAATTTTGAAAGAAAAAAGGTTTTAGTTTTAATGCACATGCAAAAGAGGAAGAAAATGCTAAAAGAAAATTGTCTACCAATGTTAGCATGGAAAAGACCTAAGGGTGAGGATAACTATCGTATAGAGGACATGTAAAGGGATTGAAGTCGTTATCTCAATTCTAATTGAGTGATATCATCGATCATTAACAATGCCTGCTACAGGTCTTTAAACAACGACTTCGAGCACATGCTCTTTATTTCCTACTTCTCATGATATCTAGAAAATCTGTAAAGCATGCATCTCTATTCCTACTTATCATGGCATCAGAAAGCGGTAGGAAATGCGAAGATGCAAAATAAAATAAAGTCACGATGATATCTAATGGAGAAGGTCCGTTGCCTCTTCAAATCCCCGCGAGCGATAAGAAAACTCTACAGAAGCTTCGCACACGTGATCAAACGAATTAACCTCTTAGCGTTCCACATCAAAAAAGATTGTCTCACTACTATCACAAAATTCTAATCAAAATCTAAAGAGAAATCCTAAATAATTCTAACATATTCTACTATTTTTTTACATCATTCTTATCACCCTCTCATTGCTATCAAAATTATTGAAAAGCAAAATTAAAAGGAACTATTAAAAATAAATCCAAATAACCAAACATAAGGGTATGCAAGCTTGATTTCAGGTGTGCAGTCCAACATCTCAGATGCTAGGCCCATTTGCAGAAGGTCCAAAGTTGCCTTTTTTTATCCTTCAGCTCTCAATTGTGCCAAAAATGGCGTATGGGCCTAGCAAGGGAATTGTGGTTCGGTCCTCAGTTTCTATTCTTTTTGTAATAGCTTCAAACTATTTCAAAACTTGCTTTGGATATTACATTCAGTTTATTACATTTTTATTGAACAAAAATGAATGAAAATTAAATAAAATTGCAAAGGATATCGAAACAGTGTAGTACTGAGCTATGGTTCAAGAAGTTATGTCGTTTCCTCTTCTTCGATAACTCGACTCTTTCTCCTTTCTCGCAAATCCACGTCGTCGGTTGTCTCAACTTCACTGCCCTTCTTCTTCGATCACTCGCAGCGCAATCTTATCCTCATCGTCTCACTCTCAGTTCAACACAATAGAGCCTCCTCCGATTCAAACTCCATCGTTCCTCTTTCTCTCAATTTGTATTCTCGTTTTGCTCTGACAAACACATCGCCATCAAAACACCACCGCCTTCTTCCGCTACAACGCTGGAGGTTCTCAATCTTTCATCTCTTGGTTCGTAGTGTCTCACTCTAGTTAGTTTTTAGAAGGTTAGGGGGTTGTTGAATTTCTGTTAAAAACAGTTAGGAGGTTATGAAATTTTGTTAGGGAATGAGCTGGCTTGAGAGATTCAATTGGAAATTGCTTAGATGTTAGTTATAATTCTGTTTTTGTGAAGTGAAGGCTTTGCTATAGTTTTCTGTTATAATTGTTAGAGCTGTTAGTAATAGTTAGTTAGAGATTAAGCAAATCCGAGCTGTTAGATCTGAAAATCAGTTAGAAAATTGGATGGATAGGATTGAGTTAGAGGTTAGTTATCCAATTGTTTTTGTTAATTGATGATGTGCTGAAAAATTCTGTTTGTTTGAAATAGTTTCTACTGAACTGTCATCGGTTAGTGCAATTGCTTCTGATTTAATTCTCTTGAATTCCTGATTTTATCTCTTCCACGGTTTCCTTCTTATTTTTCTGATATTTTCCTGACTTGGTCTGCTGAGATATTTTTGTTAGTTAGTTTTTTCCAGATTTATGTTATTGATGATATACATGGCCACTAGTTTAATTGGTCTCAATAAAAGGTAGTGAATTGGTTTTAATGAATCGGTTTTCTCTGTTTCTGTTACGTACTGATGTTGCAGCCTGTTTGATGTAAGCACAAGTTTGGAGGATGCTGAAACTGACTTTTCTGCAGGTTTTTTTTTATTCAAGTTTGGCGCAAGTTTTGGCAAGGGTTTTGGAACTGTTTTGGTTGGTAGAGAAATTGTTAGGATTAGTGAATGCAGGTAAGATTTGTGGTTTAATTGAAGTAATGTTTTGAAATGTTTTGTACTGGTTTTGGATGCAGGGCTCCTGAACCTGTTTGTAGCAGGGCAGTTGACATGTTCAGGAGCCAAGGGCCATTTAGAATATATTTTGGAGTGTATGTATGTATTTGATGGGCTGATGTATGCTATGGATTTTGTAGACAATATGTATGTGTAACAGGCGGATGGATGTAATTTATGAGTTTTTCCTTGGTATGTAATTTATGAGTTTTTCCTTGGTATGTAATTTTATGAGTTTTTCCTTGGTATGTAATTGAATCTTGTAGTAAGAATGGATGAACATGTAATGTGATGACCTTTTGATGGAATTCTCAACTTATAATGGTGAAGGAAATAGTAAATGTTCACTCATTATTTGGAAAGAACTTGAACGAAATTGGTGGACTTTTGCGGAAGCTCGAAATTTGCTTGAATCATGGACGTTGTTGATAGAACTTGAATGATGGAATTAATTAGTTGCATGGTGAATTCCTTTGTAACTTGTATTATAAGCTATCCGTATGAATTTTCCTCCAACCTTGTGCGCACTCAAGCAACTTCGATGCATTTGACTAATTTGAACACGAATTTGAATTCATGACGTTGGGGAATTCATGACATTGGGGAATTCGTGACATTAGATAGTCCCTCGAGTAAATACTTTCCAACAGTTAATCCCAAATCAATATTCACTTATTAAAGAAACCCTAGTTTCAGTTCAATCCTCTGACTTGCACTAAAATAACAAAAAATCGAGAATAATACTGCCTTGGTCCCAATGAATCCACAAATCACATATTGTAACTTGTGTTGACTTGATGAGCAACAAGATAGTGATGCACCGATTCCTTTGGTGAAAGTAAGACTTGAAGTATAGAAGAGCACCTTGACATGAAGCCCAATGAACCTCAGTTGAAACATTTCCATGCATGGACACAAGGGATTGGAAACCTTTGGCATTTGGTGAATATTAATGAAGACATGATCTTGTGTGTTAAGGAGACTCACAACCCTAGTCTTAATCCATGCTTAATGAAAATACAAGTTGAATTAAGATCTCTTGATATGCAATGTAGAAACCCTGATCCTAATGATCCTTGATCCCATGCCAAATTATTGATTAATTATACATGCAATGCTAGATGACCTATTGAGGAGTATGTATATGAAGGATGCAAGATGCATAAGTTATATGTTTCTTGATAGAAGGGTAGGACAAATTTGGGGTATTACAGAGGGAATCGACACAATCCTACTAGCCTTAATCAGCTTGAATTTCTTGCTAGAAACCAGATGAGAAAGACCTCAATTAAGAACATCCTCAGCCATTCAAAATAGTATAAGAGACAATGAAAAATGTGAGGGAAAATTTTGGAGTACAACAATTATTGTTTACCATAAGACAATTTACTTTCAAAGATAACTCATCTAAAGAAATCATAAAAGTATTGTTAATTCTTTTACCTTTGAGTTTTACCTCATTGGTTGTTTCGTCCATGATCAAACATTCATATTTATTGAATTTGATCTTGAACCCTTTGTCACAAAGTTGGCTAATACTTAGAAGATTGTGCATGATTCCTTCAACATAAAATACATCTTTAATGGATATGAAAGATGGTGCACCAACTTTGCCAATGGCAAAAAAATTTCCTTTGGTATTATCTCCATGGGTGACATATCCCTTGGCTTTTAATGTTAGATGTGAAAATTTGTTAACATCTTCCGTCATATGCTTCAAGCATCCACTATCGAGATACCATAGATTTTGAGTGGAGTTTAAGCATACCTACACAACAAAAGACATTATTTCTTGTTAGGTACCCAAGTTTCTTTGGGTCCTTCATAGTTAGATCCTTTCTTAACCCATACATAGTGTCCACTTGTCATACTAAAGTTTCTAACATAGCAAGAATTAGGTGTATGGCCAAGAATACCACAATAAAAACAATTTAGAATAAAGTTGATCTTGTATCTTGGAACTTGATTTTTTCTTAACAACTCTTTTCTTTTTCTTTTGATGAATATGCTCAATTTGCACATTGTTGACCTTCTTGGTTTCGGATTGATTACTAGCCTTTACAAAAATTGTTTTTTTGGAATTTGATTTATTTACTTTTGAATAACCAAGTCCACTTTTGTCAGTAGGATATCTTTGTTGGCTAAGCAATCCTTCCAACCCAAATTTACCCTTTTCATATCGTTCAATAACTCTTTTTAGCTGAACAATTTGAAAAGTATATGATTCATAATTTTTTCATATAAAGTCTTGTTTTTCTTTAAAAAAAACTTATTTTTGACATTCAATATCCTTGTTCATAGTATCAATCTTTTCTTGAAAAGCAATAAGTTCCTTTTCTTGTGTTGATACCTTTTTATAAAAGACTTTGCATTCATTTAGAAGTTCATCAATTTCACCTTGAGCATTTTCATCATAAAGATTAAAATTTGTACTAACCTCTTCATTTTCATCATTATCGGATTCATGAGTAGCCATCAATGCTAAATTTGCATATTCGTCATTCTCCGATTCGGATAATATACTAACTTTATTGTAATCCCAAGCGATGTAGGCTTTCTTGTATTTGGAGTCTTTCTTTCCTTTGTTTCCATCCTTCTTAGAGAGGTTTGGAAAATCCGGTTTGATATCGCCTTGCTTTCCAATTTATAGCATGTAACATTTGATGTGGAGGCTTCTTTATCCTTGCTCTTTGAGAATTTCTTTCTTTTGACAAAGTTAGAGTTACCAAAATTATTTTTAGGACCAAAGAATTTGCCTAACCTTTTTACAAGAAGCATGAAATTTTCATCTTCTTCCGGATTTTCTTCAATAGCGACTTCCTTGGATTCCACCTTCAAAGCAATTCCTTTTGATTTCTTTTTTTGATTTTCATGCTTAACCAGTCTTCCAAGTTTTGTTTCAAACTCTTGAAGTTTACCAAATAGAGTTGTGGATGACATATTGGATAAATTATTCTTTTCCAAAATAGCCATTACTTTCGGTTGTCATTCTCTAGTTAAAGATTGAAGCACCTTTAGGTTGAGTTTGTCATTGGTGAGAGTTTTACCAAGAGCTTTTAAATGATTCGTCAAATGAACGAATCTTTTTGAATGTTGAGAATAGATTCTACAGGTTCCATTTTAAACATATCTAACACTTGACTCAAGGTATTCAATCTTGATCTTTTGACTTCGATTGTTCCTTCGTGTGTTTCAACCAAAGTATTCCAAATTTCCTTTGTCGTTATGCATGCCGAAACACAAAAGAATTCATCCATGCAAAGTGCACCTTGAAGAAGATTGATTGCTTTCTTATCATAAAGGACATTTTTCTTATCATCGTCATCCCATGATGTTTTAGACTTTGATGTTCCAACACCATTGACAACACATGTCGGAGTAAACGAACCATTTTGGACATCATCCCATTTTTCTTCTCCTTGTTCTTCTAAATGAGCCTTCATGCGAATTTTTCAAAAGCCAAAGTATTCACCACAAAACAATGGAGGTTTGTTGTTACTACAACCATCTTTGAAAGTTGATTGTGCGGAAGCCATTCTGGATCGAATAGGAACAAGTTACCTTAACTTGCTCTGATGCCAAATGTAATTTAATAATGCGCCTAAGAGGGGGTGAATTAGGTGATGATCAATTTTTGCCTTCTCTAACGTTGAGATAAAACCCTAATATTTAAATTCTTCACTTTTTCTCTTTATCACGCGCAACCCTAATGTTGTAACGATGTACGAAATTAGGGTTTTGGAAATCCTATGAAAATGAAGAAGAAACATGAAATCGGGATTTTGGAAAAGCATTGGTATCCCTTTTTGTATTCTACCATGGCGAGTTTCGATTCTGATTCCGTAACTTATGTGAAACAACAAGAAGCCGTTGAGATTGATGAAACTCTCATGGGTCCTCTCGGCATCAGTGTCGATCAACTCATGGTTATTATTCTTCATCGCATTTTTGCTTCTTGGTTTTTATGTTATTTCTTAATAATTTCGATTTAGGTTCTTTATGTGTTTCTGATTTGCAGGAATTGGCTGGTTTGAGCGTCGTTACTTCCATATATGAGATAGGTTTCATCTATGTTTTATATAAGGAACTATAAATTATTTTCATAGGCTCTCTTTATAACTCAATCATGAATGTTTCTTGAGTTGTTTTCTCTTTCACATGTTTATAAACCGTGTGAGTATAACTGTGTTCTTATTATATGTGGTCCTGATAATAAGAAGCATTAGATGTCGAGTTGATGCCTTCAATTTTGGATTTATTCTCTATAGTAACAGCTATTAACCTATTCTGAATACTCAAGTTTGTTTCTCCTCCATCTGTTTTAAAACTAAGATCTTAATCAACTTTCAAATTATTCATTGATAGGTTGGACAACTATCAGGGACATACATCAGCTGGAATTGGATTTCAAGACAAAATTCATAGATTGGACAACTAATTTCTATTACTACAGGTCTATTCTGAAACAAATATACATAACTCAAGTCTATTACTACATTTTTATAGATATTTCTGATCTGTTGTTTTCTTTAGTTGTCTTACGATGCATACAAAGTGTGTGCCAAAGGCGGATGCAAGTGTTGTAGCGTTACAAGCGAATATAAACTATTCTAATTATTTGAATATTCTAATGTGTGTAACTTTCACATTATAATTGTTAAAGAGCATGTTTTTGATTGGTACTGTTCTATTTAACCAATATTGTAGGCAACGATTTCTTCTAGTATTTAAAGACAACGTAGCACAGGTGCAATCTCTTACTCTCACCTTGAATAATGAGTAACAAATAGTGTAGTGAAGCATCCTCTTAAAGATTAGTTCCGAGTTTTTGCAGATAGTCTCAATGTGTGTTATTGTGTTAATTACTTTGTCGATGGTTCTCATGGATACAAAACTAATAATTTATTTGCATGATATTTTATATAAAATTT